AAGTTCGTGCCAGCACATGGCGGCGGCAGAGTAGGTCTCGTTGGCCCAGGTGCAAGCACGGAAACAGAATTGGTTGTAGTCGACGTAGAGCTAAAAGTAAGAGTGTGAGAAAACGGAATATACTCGGGCTGGGCTGTGTGAGCTTACCATCCACTCAGCAACGTTAATCGTCTGGCCATCGACGGTCATGTTAGTCGTAACGTTTCCACCGACGGGGTTACCAGCACCAGTAGCACCGTGAGGGTCGAGTTCACCTCCAAAGTCTCCGTTGGGGATGTTGAGGCGGGTCAAGTTACCGTAACCCATGATCTGGACGTACGAGTCTATTTATGTGCGCAAAAAGTCAGCTACAGAAAAAAACAAAGCATCTCAATACTAACCCGTCTTCAAGAGACTGACACCAGTGATGGTACCATCAGGAATCACACGAGCGTTGTTCCTTGCCTGAGTACACCAAGCAACCTCGAAAGTCTCAGAGTCGGAGATGTTGGCAACCTCAGGGGGAGCGAATATACACCAGTCATCAATAGAGTTGATGGTGAGCAGACGAGCGTCGGAAGTCTGGTTGATGGAAGTTCCCATCGTTGCTTCGGGAGGGTTAGTCGTGCCCATAGTACCAGTAGCGACGACACCATCAGGCTAGAAGAATAAAATAAATGAGCAGTCTGAGAGGACATTTGCGAACTACTTACGAAGGTGGTCGTTGACTGCGCAAAGGCAGAAGCAGCCAAAAGTAGCGTAGTAGCAATTGCAAGCATTTTCGAATGGAATAAGGGTTTTCTGTAAAAACGAGTGTCGAGTTGAGTTATAGAAGAACTTTCGCAGAGGTGGCGAAAAGAAAAGCCAAAAGGCGGTGAGATGAGGGTTGGGAAGAAAGAACTGGATGATGGTTTCAACTGCCCGTGACGTTTGCTAAAAAGCCTTTCACAGGGTCGCTTACTATTTTTAGAACCGGATGATCGTAACTCAGATAAAAATACTGATGGCTGGTTCGTTGGAATAATTCTGCCCTCGCCTGGAAATCCTTTTCCTCTTGGTTTAAGCTCTTGAAAAATCTCTTTTCTCCCCTCTCCTCCCCCATCCTCAGAGCTAAAAACCAAAGACGCTTTCCAACTGGTCCAGCATCTCTAGGCACATCTATTTTCGGAACTGTCCGATCTGTCCATCAGGAATTATGTAAATGTACAACTGCGGCACTCTTCCTCCAAGTTTGTATTGTGTGGAGTGCGCGAGCAGGGAGGCTGACAATCCGTTCTAGTGACGTCCTCGAGCTTCTCAAAGTCCTCTAATGGCGTTCTCGAACCACCCACTGCCAGAAAAAACGGCTATAAAAGGCTATGTTAATGGCTTCGAGTTTTCCTTATGACGGAAAAACATGTCCGACAATTCAGTTAAAAGGTCCAAAGACGGTCATTTCTTCCCTCCACAACCGAGTGTAGCGTCATGAATGAGCACTGTGCATTCATCTCGAATGAGTTCCGGGGGCATTGTGCTGCATGCAGCATACACGGTGCAAGATCTAATCCAATCTGGCAGCTGCAGGAAGACAGACGTCTTTCATCCTCACCGTGATCTTACCCCTGCAATGCAGGAGTCACACAGGAGGTTGAAAGGTTCATTTGACTTACGCAGCAATAGATCGATGAAGCATACGCCGACAAAGCGGCGACGATGCGAGTTTCCTTCTTGACCTCGGCGAAAGAGGCCGCGGGACTCTAGAGAAGAGAGCTGAGCGCTGATTGCTTAGCTGGATAGTGATACGAGAAATAAAATAAAATAAAATAAACTGATGCAGATGAGGTATTTGCATCGTCGCCTGGATACACCCCAAGAACAGAGGGGACTCGAATTCCGTCGGAATACAACGAGCAATCCCGCCCTTGACTGCCTTACAAGTCGCAAATGCAAATGCAAATATCCTCCAAATAGGTGGGGAGGCTAACCAGCTTTTACTTGAACCCCTGCTCCCAAGTGCTCAAGCATGAATAGTCTGTATAATCTGTATGATCATGAAGAAGATAGTCAGAATAATGTTTTTTGAGTCGAACGAGAAGAGAACCGCAAATGTTTTCGAAAAAAAAAAATAATCACAGCTCAAGGTCAAACCTCGTGACTCAATAGTCCAGTCCTACTCACCAAAAGATTCACCTCCACTCCTCCCACACGAACACTTACCCTTCTTCCACACCTCGTCAGGTTGAGGACAATGCACATACGGCCAATGTTCGTATCCAATCTCATCGAAAAAGTGAATTTGGGATTTGTTAAGGAAGAGGGCCGCGGCAAGAGAGTGAACGGGTGCATCGCCCCAGCGCTAGTGGGAGTGAGGTTGATTGAATAATTCAACCCGGTCGTTAGTGACTCAAAGGAAGTAGTTAGTTGTACACACATACCTCATAATAAAACCCTCCCTTCCGATCCAAATGTTCAAAAAACGCGGTATATGCAGCACCACGCCAAAAATCCAAATCTGCAATTTCGAAATTTGACCAGACTATATATGGTTGGAATTATATCTGTGAGGGAGAGAACGGGGATGGACACTTACAATGACACATGTTATACGACTTTCCAGCATCGCTGCTCAAGAAATGCATCGCATTGTCTTTTGCGACGTATTCTGGGTGGAGGGTAGTAAACTCTACAGTAGATGGACGGATGTGATTAGTCGACAGCTAAAGGCAGCAGATTCAGATATACCTTGAACCGCACCCCAAAGACTTTTTACAGTACTTTCATATTCGTACAGCGCGATAGTAAACCCGTACGTCTTGTTATTGTTTTCAAGATACAAGAACGGGTCAAAGTCGATATCGCAGTGGAAATGGACATCTGGTCTGGATAACGAATCCATCAGCGACGGCTTCAAATTCAAGAAAAAGCTCACTCTATTCGCCAATACCACCTATACTCCTGCAACAATGGATGGCGGAAGAAAAACTACAGTATCATGAAGAAAGAATCAGAATCAAATGGAACTCAAAGGCAAAACTTTTACACCACTATTGAACCTATGAAGAAAGAATCAGAATCAAATGGAACTCAAAGGGCAAAACTTTTATGAACCGGCACATATTCCTTATGGCGCGTTAGGATCTCGACGCGAAGTGAAGAGAACCGTAAAACAGCATACCTATAGCTCACACTTTCCCCATAGATAATGCCTTCCTGGATCAGTTGTTCCCGCCCCGAACGCGCAAGGTCTTCATCGATCCAGGACGGTTGGAACCAATGATCCTGGGGTATGAGTCCAAAGGTTACGGGGGAGGATGTCAAGACAGTGATCCGCCTAAGTATGATAAAGCGAATTGGGAATGATAGGCGTCAGGATTGATGAATGATAGGTGGAGAGAACAACTGCAAGCGTACTTTTTAAATTCATCCGTAAACTCTACTTCGCTTAAAAACACATAAGGGTATCCTTCTCCAGGGGGGAATAGTTTAGCGTTGAAGCGATCTTCTATGGAGCGCACACTCCGTACGGCACCATCGAGGTCACTGTTGCGTGCGAGGATGACGAAAGTGGCGTTTGCTTTGCGGTGCGGCGGGGAATGGACCAAAGACGAGGGATGCGGGGGCTGAGGTAGAGGAAGAGATAGAGACGGTTGTGACTGCGACTCATGTGCTGATTCCCTTGTCAGTTCAGAAATCAGTACGGAAGTGAGAGCTCACCTTCTTGTGCATCAGCATTCGGCGGCTCATTTATAGAAACAGTATCTTCGCTGAACGAGCCTAACGTTTTCCTTGAAGAAGACCAAGAATACTGGGCTTTGAAGAAGAAGAACTGCCCTATGATCTACACATCGATTAGCCAGCATGAAAAACGAGATGTCGTTGGAGCACTTACTAGGAGTACACCTAGGACTGAGAAGCATCTCAGCGCGAACTTGCTCCGATGGAGGCCAGTCATGGTCACAGTTTGTGCTTGACACAAAAGTCTCGCATGTTGGTTTTATGAAGGGAGGAATTGGTTGTATGGCTGAAAGTGGCTCTGCATTAGTGTGCCCGCTATGCTCTATACTTGACCTTGAACGTGAAGTTTGCCGCAGAGCTTTCAAGACGGTATATTAGATATTTATGTAGCCTCATCCGACCAGAGCCATAAGTATGTCATACAGATACTAGAACGGTGGCAAGAATGCATTATCCATGCCAATCGCGGTCAAATGCATGACTGGAGATGGTCAAGAATTTTGACGCCTAACTCAAAGGCTCGTTCTCGCCACCACGACGAGCCGACGCATGGAGTAGGTCTTTGACGAACAAGTTTCCGAGAGATACGTTCGTCAAATTTTCGAATTGAGCAACAATCACGTCCTTCCTCTTCCTTATAATACGAAGGAAGGGAATTTCCTTCCTCACTACGTACGTTCCCTACCCTCATTCCATTCACTCAGAGCTAATCCAATCTTATAATTGATGATCTATGGCATACATTCTTTCAGCACCGTTCCGATTAACCTCAATTGCTATTTTGGACACCAATAGTATCAATATACTGTACTATCCACAGTCGACCTTCTCAGGGCCAAGATTTTTATTGCACTACAATCTTCTGGTGGTATAGGCATGTTTATCCTCCTTGCTGCTGTACCCTTGTAGTTGTCCCAATTACAGGGAATCCGACAAATTGACATCAACTGGGATCCTTGAAGCTTGACCCCGACATCCAATGGAGATTGTTCGATAAATTGTACTCGGACATGGACCAGCTTCTTCTTGCATCTCTTACTGTCTCCTGTTCCTTGCTGTGGATTGTGTCCAGTACAAGCTTCCTTGATATATTATTCACCTCCACTGTGAGTAATGTTCATGCTCACGATTTTTTATCTCTACGTTCTAGTACGGTATGCACGACGCTCATCTTGGATCCATGGTGGTGCTTTCGTGACGCAGAGATAGGTCTGATGTCTACATCTCCATGGTAAATGAAGGTCATGAGTTGGCTTGTAGACCATAAATGAGATGCAAACAATGGGGCTTACAATGCTACAGCCAATGGTTCGATGGCGTAGTGGTTATCGCATCTGTCTTACATGTATGTGACGTCGGTCCGTTTGCACAGAAGGTCTCCGGTTCGATCCCGGGTCGAATCATCGCTCGTCTTGTATATTTTTTTGTGTTGCGCCTTTAGAAAAGGTTATTTCCAGGCCATAACCTATGTTGGAAATTGTCATAGAACATTGTAGTGACAAAAAAGTAAATAAGTATGTTGAATAACTAAGGAATAACGGGTGCCGCAAAGGCAAAAAATGTAACATAAACAGACTCGATATCTCGTGGAGGATCAGAATTGTTTTGAGGAAACTGCCATCTTGGAGCCCCATACGGAGGGTAATGGGACTCGTCTTCAATATCATAGGTTGGTGCAGAGGCTAGTAGGTCTTCTAACGAACCCTGTGAGGCCTCTATCGCATAACTCGACAACTCCGTATCAGACTCGGACTCAAAATCATCAAAGTTCGCACTACCAGTAACCCATTTACCTGTCTCAACGTCGTAGAAATCGGAGATGGAGCAACGAGGCGGAGAGGATGGGCAAAAGTGTTCCTCTGACTCGGATTCTGAATCCGCGCTCGCATCATCTTGGGAATCAAAGTCCGAATCGTGGTCATCGTCGTGTTCTGGCTTGAGTTCATCGTCATCGTAGTGCCCTGTCTCGAGTTCCAGTTCAGGGCTCGATTCAACATCGACTTCAATGGAGGGTGCCCTTGAAGAAGCCAATGAAGAACGACGCGAGGAAGGATAGGAAAAGGGGAAAAAGAATCCCTCCGACTCTGATTCTGAATCCGCGTTCGAATCATCCTGGTAATCGGAGTCGGAAGTGTGGCCATCGTCGTAGTCGAGGTCGTCGAGTTCGGGCTCGAGTTCATCGTACTCTGTTTCCACTTCCAGTTCAGCGCCCAGTTCACTATCGACTTCAACGGAGGGTGCCCTTGAAGAAGCCGAGGAAGAAAGAGGAGATAGGGAAAGAAGGGCGGAATATCGGCCTTGTGAGGAAAGAGCAGACTCTGAAGCATCCACAGGCGAAGAATGCGATAGGACACTCTGCTCTCCATCGACCTCAGACAACTCCGTATCTCGTACTTCCTCCCGTGCTTCTTGTTGGCGTTCCAGTCTCCCCTGCTGTTGCGCATTATCAATGGAAATATTTTTGAATAACTCTTCGATCGCCTTTGACTGGTTCTGGTTTGAGCCAGCGGAGCAATCCCCGGCTCCAGATGCGAAGAAACCAGTAACTGCGCGGTCATCACTGGAAGGACCAGCGGCTGATGCGGTCCTTGAGACATCTTCCACCAGCTTCTCTCTAGACGGCTGATCCTGATTCGCCGTCACGTAGTGACACTTCAGCAGACTTCCAGCTGCGGACAGATCGTTTGAAAAATTAGCAGACGATGCGTTGGTTTTCGAATCACACCAGCAGCAGAGGGAGATTGAGTAAGGATGAATGATATTCTGCGACGTTCCAGAGAGGTTAGTGCAAAGCAGGCTCGTTCGCGGCGAGCCGTTGAGAGAGCGATACCATTTGCGGGTTGGATGGTGTGGATAGCTTAGTGGCGAGGGAATGTTGTCCGCTACATGCTTTGGGAGAGGAATTAGCAGTCACAGTGGCGAAATCACATTCGGTCCCGCTTCTCCGGATATTGAACCGGACTGCGGTCGAAGCCTCTGATGTTGCTTCAACCTGAGTCTGAGGCTGGAGTGCTTCGATCTCGGGTGAAGAATATGGAAGTTCGGCCTCAGCCTCTACATTCGAGTGGTGCTGTGCAGGTGACGACGGCCAAACCAAGATCGGTTCGACTTCCTCGACTTTCACAATAGGGGAGAGAGGGAAGGAGGGTAAACGTGGCGGATGCGGAAGAAGAGGCTCGGAAGTGGATGGAGAAGGAGGTAGTGGAGGTAAAATTTCTCGTCCCTGCCCCATAAGCCTGACGATCCGAATCTCTGAACACCTGCCATTCGGGTCGATGATCTGGGAGCCACCGATCATGCGTAGCAAAGAACACTAGTCTTCCCCGACGGTCTTTGAACAGCATGTTCAGATAACGCTCGATCGTCTACATCTTGCGTCGTTATGAATTCGCGGGGTTCGTCGAGTTTCCAGGACATAGATTCCGATGGTGGAAAATTGGGATCATAGAGTCGTTCGACCATCGCAAGGAAGTTTGCGATATGGTCGTTCTTGATGTAAGACGGACCTTTTCAAGTATATGAACTTGATAAAGGCGTTCCAGTGTTCTGGAGAGATGTACAGGGAGAAATGAAGAAGGTCCAGAGCTTCAAGTTCCATTTTACGGACGTCCTTTGGCGCAACATCCATACTGAGAGCCCTGTAACCGAGTGAGCGAGATGGTAGAATGCCAATGGGGAAGGCATACCAAAATTGCATCTTAATCGTGCCATCTTCAAACCACGCAGCTCCGAGGCGCAAAGCCAACAGAAATAATCGAAACAGCATTTCTATGCAATTGGGACCACCAGGTCCAGAGTATGGAATACCTTCAGGGAATATCCTATGAAGAAATAGGACAGCACTCAGTACGGCTTGCTGGGAATAAGTGGTCCTGTAGATAGTGGTATATATCAGATCTTGGTATTCGGTTTGAACTTCATCTAAAAATGGGAGAAAAGGTGTGAATAAAGAGTTTTCTAGCAAGATTCAAATTTACCTGTAAGCTGGAAGTCGGGCGCGTCCAAAAGTGAAAAGATATAAGACCCAATGAACTCTGCCAGGATTTGATTCTCGGATTTTGTTTGGGGGTGGAGAGGCGGCTGAGGACCAATGAGCTCTGTCGGTACCTCGAAGGTGGCATCGTTCGTGGGTGAAGAGGGTGACGCGAGATCATCAACCAAAGTTTCTGAAGCTGAGCTTTTGTGTTGTTCTTCCGATTCTTCGCTCCTGGGTTTACACGAGTTAGAAGAGTGAACAAGATCGAAAAGAGTGAGACAACTCACTCATGATTTGATGACATCGGATTGAGAAGAAACGAAAGAGACATCGCTCGGTTTCGGGGAGCAGACATGATTTCGAGTGAGATAGCGCTGAAGAAGGCGCGAGTCCAAAGAGTAATCAAGCGTGCTATGATCACGATACGGGTCACAGTTCCAATGAACGTGATCGCGCTATACTGGGAAGACAATGAGCATTCCATAGTTTGGTCCGGCCACAGTTGTCAAAACTTCGTGATGCAGTAATATTCGTACAAACCCACTGAGAACGCCTATTGTCTGAGCTGAGCGTCTATGTATAGACTACCATGAATTCAGCCTGCTGGATCCTCCTAGTGAATTAATAGAAGATTCGAAAAAACGCTGACATAAACTGGCGAACGGTTCATCGTTGATGATCTCCATCCAGATCAAGTCCACGACAGCAGCTGTCCCTCTAATAGTTACACATCCGGGATGAGGCGCGGTGTTTACATCCACTCACTTGAGCAATATGAGCTAGAGTATGTTAATTTCTCGGGCAACGGGAACGTTCGCTTTTTACACAGTTGTGCAGAAGATATATGTGGTTCGATGAGAGCATAACAGACTGCTCGAAAGAATTAGATGCTATTCCAAGATTTAAGATATAATCAAGCTCACCCTGGCCAGTTACGTCCTAAACAGAATTCCTGATGTCCGATGGGTAGAAAGGCGTGTCCCAGATAGATCTTGCTGTTAGTGCAATCCATAAGGGATACGAGAGAGTTTCGCAGACCAAGGCATCAGCAACATCCATACCGCAAAAGCAACGATCCAGTAAGATGCGGACGATATAGAGTAGTTGCTTAAACTTGCTTTGTGCGTGGATACTCAGTACTCAATGCCCAGCCTGAGATTAGAAACACATAATGATCGCATAAAGTCAACGGTATTCGTTTAGTAAATAGCTCTCTAGATATCTGGCCAATCCTATACTGGTTGTTTCTGTCGGGCTTTTGCGTCCAGATTTGACATTGGATTTGTATGGAAGAAAATCTGAAGAATATAACTGAGCGGATTAAGAATGGTCATTGATGAACCTTTGGCCAGACAGTTTTATTGCACAGATGGAGGCAGGCTGTAAGGGCAAATCCCAGCGAAAGAGCAGAAAAGGAAGTAAAGACCCACGCTACATCCAGCGCTTTGACCGGTGCGCTTTCGGACTCACATCCTGTTTGAGGACCTCTCTTCTCATTTCTTCCATCACCCTTTCAAAACGATTAGTCGACCTCTCATTAGCATCAACGAAAACCGCAGAAACCTTCTGGAAAGTCTCAAAAACTTATGATGTTTTGGATGTATCGAGCGGAAGTTTGAAATTGAACTGCAGGTTTCATTGTAAGCTTTTTATACGTTCACGAAGATGTCTTTATTCACATGGTTCAGTGGCTTCCGCCGGAGGCGTCGATGAACCAGGAATCTCCAACAACAGTATTATAACATTACAAGATAACCGCATTCCTCGAATAGGACCTACTTTCAGAGCTTGCGGAAAGTTCTATCAAGTTCTATCGGGGGAGATATTCAAATAAGCGCAAGGAAAAATACTTGAAAGACTCCCGCGAATAACTCCAAAGTTGACAGTAACAATCCTGCAAAGCAGCCTTGAACCTCGAGACTGACAAAAAATGCATCGAATCCACCTGAGACCAACCTCGTCATGCGGTATTCACTCTGAATACACCCCGAAAACAAGATTCTCGCCTCGGGATGCTTCCTAGCTAGATTAAGTTCTCGAATTACATTTATTCCGCCTGCACTGCTCGGTTTAATAGCCACTCGCATCGTGTTCATAGGTATGAGTTGAAGTTCAGTTCCCCTTTTCTTTTCGAGGAGAATCCGTAGCACTATACCCATCGAAAAGTTTCTCAGTACGTGCGAGCACGTTTATTTCCTTGATTATATGACTCGGATCGTGCTCACACATGCTCTGGGATTAGCACTACCTTCCAGGATGTTCCCTACCTTTCTCACTTGTTTTTGAGTGAATGATCGGACCCAAGTCGTCAAGTAGAACCGGGTATAATCACATTCGGTCACAAAATTATGGTTCGAGGTACTTCCTTCTAATGGCAGGCTTATTGTTCTATACCAAAATTCAATCTCAAGCAGAAAGGTGAAAACG